CGCACCCCAAATTCTAACGAATTGCCGGCACGATTGCTTTTAATTAAAGAAACAAAAAATGTCGAGGTAATAATAAAAACTCAAACAAACACAAGATTCCTTTTCTTAACCACGGTCAGTCGGAATTTCGTCGTGTTCTAGCATTACCGAATTAAGTGATAGCTCTTGTAGCCTTCAAGGAACAAGTTATTTACAACATTCTTATTGCTTTCAACTATTCTCCTTTTGCAAGAAACATACTATTATTATCATCTCTACACATTATATTTGTTAAAACCCGTCACTTTCGCCGCCTAAAACTTCGAACCCACTTAACTTTAGAATTTGAAAAAAATAACGGTGATTCAGAATCATTTAAAGGGTGCACTGTTTTACTGAGGATTCTGAAGTCACTGTAGTTTAATTTTCTGTTATTCATTAGTTTCGTTTAGATCTAATCTTGAGAAAGTCCGTCTTCTTAGACGCCAAAATGAACGACAATGAGTGCGCACTCATTGCACACCTTTGAAATTCTGGAGTGTACAACTACAAAAACAGAATAGAGAATCAATCTATGCATCTATTATATATTTTTTAAAATTGAAAACACAAGTGTCACTTTTCTCTCAAGATGTATTGCTCCTTTCCAGTAGAGTCTAAATACAGTAGACCAATGATATTCAGTTGATGTTAATGCACCGATCATTCCTTTCATCGAAAGGGGGCCCAGATAGTTTACAATATTCTTATTGCTGTCATCTATTCTCCCTTTTCAAGAAACGTATTATTTACAATATTCTTATTGTTTTCAATCATTCTCCTTTTCAGTTTTTGCGGAAATTCCCAATTCTCAATGACTGCAACAATTACAGCAGTCTTGGGTTACAATGTCATTGTGTTACTTCGTTTGAACCATCAATGGACCATCGTGCCGGTATAACTGTGGAATCATTTATTTGTAGGAATGCATCGTGTTGTAATTACTCTCAGTGTGTAATAGTACATGCTATAATTAATTACTGTATTTGGGAGATATACTGTCGCTAACTGTTTCGCGGGTGGAGGGGGAGTGAGGGTTGTGAGCTATGAAGATTTCAGTAGCGTGAATCATTCGATATTCTTACTTCCTGGGAACATTCTTGCCTGCTGTGTTTACTTGCTATATATAGAGCTTGTGTCACCGAATGATGCTTAATTTGGATGGTTGATTGTTTTTTGTTTCGTCGTTGCTTTTTACTTTTTGGGTTGTTGTTATTGTTGTAGTTGTAGTTGTTGTTGTTGTTGTTGTTGTTGATGATGATGATGATGATGATGATGATGATGATGATGATGATGATGATGATGATGATGTTGTTGTTGTTGTTGCAGTTGTTGTTGTTTGTTGTTGTTGCTGTTTTATTTTCGTTTCATCTAAATTACTAGGCGCCACCAAATGCGAGTTGCCATAGCATAATACGCCTCAAGAGTCATTTTTACACAAAGTTTGCAGCGAGTACTGATAGAAAGACTGGGAAAGTGTCTAACACTAGAGATATCTAAAACTAAAACAGTTTTCTTTTGTTTTAACAAGGCTACCGAAATATTATGTTTATCTTTAAAATTGTTTTGAAAACATATATTGAAACTCGGGAAGGTCTGTATTTACGCTTCATTTTTTTTCTAGATGTTTTTAATGAAGTTAAGTATGTTGAACTATTTAACATTTTGAAAGAGCCTGATATAGAATCTAGATCAATAAGTTCTAAAATCATTATGAATTTGCAGGGACTAAAACACTGGTGCTGTAATAATTGAGGGAGAGTGCAGGGAATATAAGCAGATAAAATGAGAAGTTGGACAAGGATGCATTATGTCACCAGAGCTCTTTAACATAATTATACAAGGATAAATTCTTAGCTAGAAGAAAGTACAGGTAACAAGGTGAAGGGAGAAGCTAACATCAATAACATCAGATAATAAGAAGATGTTTTAGTTTTAATTACAGATTCATTAAATTACCTTTAATTTTTCTTGAAACTGTTAAGGCAAAAAGTTAATGTAAAGGATTATTATTGAACTTATCAAAAACATGTAAAAAATTGAAACCTGTGAGATAACAAATTAATGCTATCATAACAATAACGCTGTCCCATGAAGATCTAGTTTCGAATCAGATATTACACACTGTACTTAACACTGTGTCCCCAAACACATTGAGGAAATTTAGCTCACAACAATTTCCGACAATATTTGAAAAGCAGTTAACTCTATAAATTTTTTAATCTCATGAAAAAGGTGAAAAGATCAAACAGATTCAACAAATCACAAATCTAAGATATAGAATTACACCCGATACCAAACGTCTCCGTAATTTTTTTTTTAAAGCGACACAGATAGTTTCAATATTGTCCTATCCGCAAAAAAGACACATCTCACCAACTTCTAAATCGTATGTGTGGTCAACATTTCTATAGGATTGTGAATTGAAGACAAATACCAAAGACAGTGAAAATACAATGAAAGAAACAGAAATGTGATTTCCTAGGAGCAGGGACGGCTCGTGGTTTTTAGAGCTGACTGGTTGTATTTCACATTGATTACCCCCCCCCCCCCCCCACACACACCCCAACCCCTCTCTCTCTCTCTCTCTCTCTCTCTCTCTCTCTCTCTCTCTCTCTCTCTCTCTCTCTCTCCCTCTCTCTCTCTCCCTTTCTCACACACACATGCAAACACAAATGCACTTACTCTGTCTCAATGAGTGGGTGTATGTGCATATGTGTGAGACTGTATGTGTGGTTGTGTGTTCGTGTTTGTTTGTGTTTGCTTGTTTTTAGTTAATGTTAAAATAGTGAAGATAACAGACAAAAAAAAAGAAAGAAAGAGAGAGAGAGAGATAGGTAGATAGATAGATAGATAGGAGAGAGAGGGGGGGGGAGAAAGAGAGAGAAAGAGAGAGCACTAAAGAGCTGCAATACAAATTCATACTTCTAAAAGCACCACAGAAAAAAACACATTATTTACAGTTAGGTGTGACAGTAATGAGATTCAATTGTCCAGTGAGCTCCCCACACTCTAACGCTCAATCGTTCACGAATTTAGATCCTTAGAAATTGAAAAAAAAAAAAGTGGTCTAATGGGTGCATAATGGAACATAAAATACAGACACGTAGTACACAATGTACTTTAGAATAACAAAGCAAGAACTTTTGTGTAAAAGATTGAGAAGAAAAAACGAATCGTTTTTTTGTGTTGTTAATTGAAACAATAATGTGAGATTTCTCTTAATTTTTTTTTTTAATTGATGAGCGCATTTTACGGCATACCTATGTGAAACGTCGTGCTGTGGGGTCATACATTAATGAAACCAGTTGCCGGCTACTTCTTCAAAATAGGATTTCAAAGTTTAATGAAGGCGTTGTTCCAAAAATGTCTGACTATAATTATGGCCCACCCTACTCGATAAAATTGTACCAAACATGTACCCTGACTATGATATGGCTGCACAGCCCACCCTACCCGATACAAAACAACCAAGACCTAACATCACAGTTCAATCAAATAAAGAGTTGCTAAGAGAGTCATGCAATGATGCCAAAGATGTGTCCAGATAGTCATGACCAAGACCACAATTCACGGACTCCGAGCTGTCTTCGTCCGCGTTCACAGACTCACGGACTGTGTCTACTTTTTCATCGACAACGTTTTTTATCGTCTTCGTCAAAAGGCTCTCCGCTTCCTCAGCCTTAATGTCGAACTCTGTGTTTGTATATTCCATATCCTCAAGGCCATCCACACTTTCATTGTTATTCTTAAACTTCCCGTTTGCAGTCGCTACAGGGGATAAAATTCGTTTGGCTTCCACGCATTTTTCACAAGGGCTTATAGCACTCTGCCCTTTTGATAATATGTAGTTCTCATCAAGGTTTCGGATTTCGCTATACCTGGGGGTACATTTCTGTGCTTTACCAAAGAACAGATGGAGTAAATCCTGTATTGCTGTGTTAATAAGCGACCCGTTTACGTCAGCACACAGGCTGTTCCTTCTAGTTGTTATCCCCTGAGCACTTTCCACTTTGGATGGCTCGGGATGGCTAAACACATCATCTTCATCATCATCACAATTTTCATCATTTTGATTGAAGCACGAATTCGTTGCTTCCAAGTCTTTATCAGACTCGTCCTTCAGCATTTGTTCAGTTAAACTAGCACGGTTTCTTTTTCGTCTCGATAAACTCCTCCGAACCCAGCTCCACTTGGGCAGGGACAGACGACTGCTTTTATGGGGGAGATAGAGACTGCGCGATGTCGAAGATTGACCCAACGGGAGATCGCCGCAGTATTTGCTATCAGTCTTCGAGACGTTTATATCGTCTTTGAACGCCTCATCGACTGACATACGGGGCAGGAAGACGTTGTCAGCGGAAGTGACGCGGAATACTGGAATTTTTTTGCTTTCTTCGTTTTGATCACACGCGTCGGAAGACGAATGGCATCTTTGAGCACGACGAGCCTTGAGGACAGCATCGGGCAGAGGGAGGGCACCATGCCGACACGTTATGACACTTATTGGCTCTCCATCGGTCGAACTACCCTTGAGTCCGTCCGGCGCGACAAAGGTGCCAAAATGAACGGGATATGGATATTTGTTAATACCTCCTCTTTCGTCCTTGACATCTTTTTGCAGAGTCTCAGAGTCGACTGTTATATTTGAAGGAGTATCAACAGAAGCATCCGGGACTGCTAGTTGAGATTTGCATACCACAACCTGCTCATCTGGCTCGGGCACTTTTTCGGTCGCTTCTTGCTCTGAACCGTCGGGAGTAGGATGGACATTAATCGACGGCTTTCTCACAGCCCTTCTGTATTTCTGAGAGCCAGAAGACAAGCGGTGCACGGCGTTCCGGGAGAAAGTGTTGAAGGTACCTTGGACATTAGAAAACGTGCTGAGTAGCTTCCCACTGACGTCATGTTTCCGGGGGCTGGAGGTGGTCTTGACAGATTCGCGTTCGCTTCCGCCATCTTCCTTTGGTTTGAAGATCCGGGGCGACCAGGAGTAGCATCTCCTCAGTTTTTTGCTGCCCCAAAGCTTTTTTGGTTGCTCCACTGTGGAGATACAAAAGAATCATCGATGATTGTATTATGAGAAAGACAGCAACGTGCTGCCAGGCTTTTGTTGTTGTTTATAATCTGTGTGATTAGTTTTAACTGTTGTGATTATTTTCTATCCTTTCTTTTACTAAGGGGTGGGTTGGGGATGGGTCTGCTTTGTCAAGGAACAGACATACATACATACAGAGATACAGGCTAACTGAAAGACAGACAGATAAATAGATAGATAGATAGATAGATAGATAGATAGATAGATAGATAGATAGATAGATAGACAGATAGATAGATAGATAGATAGATAGATAGAATGCATGTTTATGTCCCCATTCGCGGGCTAAAAATCATTTTGAGGATGGGCTGCTTCATTTCTTTCTCTCATTGCGGTCCGCTTGAGACGGACCCTCCCAAGAGAGAAACAGGAACGTTTGATAGAATAATGTCCTCACACGGGAAATAGAACTTACGTACACCCTTTGCTAGTAGACGAGTCTAGCCACTGTATAGCGAGAACTAACATTTAAAAGAATGATAGGAGTAAAGGAATGTAAGCTCACTTACACTAAAGGCCCCAAAAGGGTTGAACAGAAAACGCAAAAAAGCGGGGTTTTTATTGTCATGATTACTGCTTTCAGGAAAGTATTTCCCCCCCAAAGACCTATTCAACTCAATTGTGCATCAGCGTTTTTCATCTCAAGAAGAAGAAGGAGAAGAAGACAAAAAAAAAAGGATACAAGTAGGATAACGTAAAACGACAAAATGTAGGCCGAAAAGAAATAGAAACGGAGGAGCATATATCTCATTCTACTAATCAAATCGCCTGGGCTGTCTTGTGATTCGAAATCTTCTTATAGGCCTAATCTGATTCTGGTTGCTTCGAGTCGAACACCAGGTCGACAAAAGCGGATCCCCTCGAAAAGGGGTTCCACAAGAGGCTAGAGGAAAAGCAAGAAATGAGGAAGAATCGGTGAAGACAAAAGACGAATATTCTGATTAACTAAATTCTACCCCCCCTCCTCACAAGTGCACGTAAAACCCTCACAAAAAACAAAAAACAATAACAACACACTAACAAATACAGAAACACACGCAAACATACACTTACATACACACACACACACACACACACACACACACACGCACACACATACACACACAAACACACACACACACACTCAATCACTCACTCACTTACACACACACACACACACACACACACACACACACACATATATATATACTGGCGAGCAAAAGAAAGTGGGCAGTTTTCAAATCGGTGCTGTATGAGTCGTCTCGCGAATTTTGATTTGGCGATTGACATGCTGAGCTTGAGTGACTTTAGAAAGTCAGTCAAAACAACATTTGTTTATTTTGTTGT